GCCAACATAGAGGGATTGCAACAGAGTCAGAGAGCCAAAGAGGTACCACCTAATAGAAGAAACTCACGCTCTTTTCACTAATAGGTGGTCCGTTTGGATTCGCAGTAAAACAGACATCGACAATATACAAAACCGGAAACATAGATAAATAGATAGATAGATAAGCCTGCTCCGGCACAAGTGGCGCGAGCACCGCCAGACACAACAGGCAGACAGCCAGCCAGTCCGAGCTTGGAAATTAGTCAGCCGGTTTAGAGGCAGCCAGCCAGTCGAGCCAGGCGCCAGGCAGACTAAGCAGCTAGGGAGGCAGGGCAGGTTGATATCCTCTAAGATCCCTTTTAGTATAGCCATGGTTAAAATATATACATAAATATTTGACCGCGGCATGTTTGTAGGATTGGGGCAAGAGGATATCAACCTGCCCAGACAGAGAGCCAGACAGTCCGCCGCATAGGTGAAATGAGAGAGGCAGAGAGGGAGCAGAAGGTTGGGAGGGGCCTCCAACCTACTAGCCATGGCCTCCAACCCAGTACTCAACTGAGCAATCCCACGAATGGACCTAGGTGGCGCCCCCGTAAGCGGTTCCTCCAATTTAGAGATATTTGGAGTACCCATCCCGGGCTGTTTTCAGCCGAAACAAGAGTGGGCAGGGGGCGCCAGACACAGCAGCAATCTCTATAAAATTCAAGGGAGTACAGCCAGTCCAAGAAATTAAGCTCTCTACAGAATCAGTGGGCTTTAGGTTTGCCCTACCACAATCTCTATAAAATTCAGGGGGGTGCAGTCCTTGGAATCACGGTCTTCTACAAAATCAGGAACCCTTCTACAGAATCAGGTGGGCTATGCCTGAGTGCCACTCTGTTGATGCTCACTCAAACGCTAGGTACGCAGCCGATGTTTCTTTGAACAATAGGGGGGGATGCCCTGCAACCAAGTAGCTCAAGAATACGAGTTTCAGGAAGCTTTTTTTTTGGTTGGGGGAAACAAGGATTCGCGTCGGCCACCAGCCTACTAATGAGTTAGCTATGGCCTCCAGCCTACTTAGTAGCAGTAGGCTCCAGCGAGTAGCGAGGGTCCAACCGAAGTGATACCGTAGTAGCGGAGGCCTCCAGCCTGGTAATTAGCGAGGGCCGCGGAGGTCAGCTAGGTAGGGGTGGACCGCCAAGTAAAATTAATTAGACAGTCAGCCAGGACGACAGTCACAGTGGCTCCACGTTTGTACTACTGGCCCAAGCCAGAGAGCGAGACAGACTGGACGAGCCAGCAAGACAGACGGGACCAGCCAGCGACCTCAAGAGCCAGGCAGACATGGCAGCCGAGGCAGCGCAGCAGGCAGCGGCGGAGCTGGGCACGTGGGAGGCAGTGGAGGCAGCGCGGGCAGCGAGCGCAGCCGAGCAGGCAGCCAGGTTCACTATGCAGCAAGAGACGCTGCAGGAACTACGCCTAATTGGCAAGAAAGTGCATTGCCTTGAGGCCCGCTTGGAGCCTGGGCGAGACAGATTAGTGAGAAACTTATTGAACGCCCAAGGCTTCGCATATTTGGGTGCGTTTTCATGCATGGCCGTGTTCTTGTAGGCAATCGGAAAACATGTTGTCTTCATTGAGCAATGAAAAAAAATCTAAGGACACGTTCTGCAACTTACAGGCAGACAGAGAGCGGCATAGGAAGCAAGCGGTGCAGGAAGGGAGGGAGGCAGAGAAAGCCGAACGCTGGAAGCAGTTCCTCGAGACAGCCAGACAAGCAGGGCCTCCGTTCTCGTGGCTGCTGATGTGTTTCAAGTGAGGCAGTGAGAGAGCTAGGGCACCTCCGAGGCAGACAGCCAGCCGTTTAAAGGCAGCCAGCCAGACAGGGTTTGGCGCCAGGCAGGCAGACGGCCAGGGAGGCAGCCTGGCAGAGAGCAGAGCTAGTCAGCCAGTTTAGAGGCAGCCAGCCAGCAGAGCCAGGCGCCAGCAGGCGGCTAGAGAAGCAGGGCAGGTTGATATCCTCTAAGACCCCCTTTAGTATAGCCATGGTTAAAATATATACATAAATATTTGACCGCGGCATGTTTGTAGGATTGGGGCAAGAGGATATCAACCTGCCCAGCCAGACAGAGAGCCAGACAGTCCGCCACACAAACGAGAGAGGCAGGCAGCTAGTGGAGGGACAGGGAGTGGAGAGTCAGGGACAGCCAGACAGTTAGAGTTAGCTATTGCTAGGAGCAAGGACGCTACTAGGGACGCCTAGCATCGCTACTAGGAGTAAGGCCCCTACTAGGGGCTCCTGGCCTCGCTACTAGGAGAGCCAGCGAAGAGTCTGCAACGCGACATGGTCGATTTTGAGGGTGTATTGGGACCTATTTTGGGGGAGTTTTGGGGAACCTAATAAAAAAAACTACCCCCAAAATCGACCATGTTGGTAGTTTAGTAGCGGTTTGAAAGGGCGGCAATTTAAAACCAAATATAAACCGAATTTAGGGGTTCGGACGTGGGGTTTTTTAATTGGGGAGTGTTTATTAATAGGTACTCGGGATTATATATACTGCACATACGTGGTGTGAGTGGCGCGCGTGTCTATACGCACATATAACATTATGTATTATGGATATGTATATATATATATGCTTCTATAACATTATATAATGTGTAGACATATAGTATATATGTATGTTTCTTGGTGTTCATGACAGCCTGACAAGCGCTGCTGACCTGCATGTCCAGAAAAAAAAGGGTGCTTCCCCCCCTTGATTCTGATTGTTGGATGTCGCTGGATGTGGATGGTCGGAAATCATACCAAATCTTGTGCAGAAAACGTTACCCTGGGGCTGTCAGAACCAGGATTGCATGAACTTGCACCCCTTGGATGGATGCCGTCGCTTCGATGGCTCGATTCTTGGATGATCCGACCACGTCACTTCAACAGTGCAAAGGGTTGTCTCTGGTATAAAAATCCATGAAAGATGTGTGTCAGCATGATTTCATGTTGAATGATTTGTCACTCGGAAGCTTTCTTGCCTTACTACTAGTAGCAAAGGCGCTACTATTCCTTCAAACACCTGGCCTCACGGCTGCCTGTGCGCCCAGCAGCTCGAAGACTGCCTGGCGCTCCAAGTTGAAGAGGGCCTCGGAATAATTAGAGGGTTGGTGGGTCTGCCGGGCAACCACTGTTCTCAATATATCACCACTGGTTTTCCGAATTGTTGCAACCGGTTTCTGCTTGGGTTCTGCTTGGCCTGCTACAACAGGTAAAGGAACTGTCCAGCAGAGAACTTGACCATTCAGCCTGGTTTCGTTTCTCTGGTTTTCGAAAGCTTGGTCTTGGTATTGGCAACAAATTATCTTGTTCACTTTTTCAATACATAGATGCCTGTAGATATAGATATGTAGGTTTAATTGCTTGGATGGTCTAGCAGCCAAGAAGTTGTCTTTGCGTAACACGCGATATGATATGTCTCACCTCACTGATCAAGACGGCCCGAGACGGACTCTCAGGGAATCATGTGGCCCGGATGTCTTCTATTCCCAGACCATCCATGCGTCATTTACCCCATTTGGCTGTGGGTCATGGCACCAGGATACCTTGCTTGATCTATGGAAGATCAACCTACCAGTATTCCATAGGTGTTCCGGGTTTTGACCAATCCCCATTTATGACCCTGCTGTAGTCTTCCATACATGGATGGTCAGGGATGGTCCACCATGTATTCCACAGGAATTCGGCACCGAAAGGGGGTGCCGAATCACATGCGCTTTTTGCCGCCCGGCTGCTGCAATATGATCAAACCGGAACCCCAGCACCGTGATCATCTCCATTTGGCGTTGAAGTTCATCCACCTACAATTTCTGACAAGGGGATATGTTTGAGCATTGCCAACAGGACCTGCACATATGCGTATGGTTATGTATGATAATGTGTGAATGTATGATATATGTTCCCAAATGTTCCTTGTCCTATATATGTTCCTATCTATAGGCCATCAGCTAGGCCTCAGCATCTAGTGGTTGTTTGGCCAGCATTAATGGCCGAGAAATCCTTGTGGAGGCTTGACTTGATGTTTGAATGGACATCAAGAGTAGCACCTCATGCTTTCGAGGCTGTACTGGATGCCAAAAGGAGTCATGCTCACGAAAGGGGCCACTGCCATCTCGCAGGAAGAAGGCACCAATCATCTTGTAGCCAGTACTGGAGCTGCAGCCAGCATGCAGGCTTCTGACATCATCCTCACCATTTGACAGGTAGTTGAACCTCAAAAGTCATGTGGGGACAAACACATTTCGCTCATTTTCACGCCATTGTTTTGGTCGTTCATCGTTGTGGGCACAAGTTGTGGACCAAACTCTCCGAACTACCTCGAAACATGCGTGGAAGCATCCAAAGTGCAAACAAGGAGCCAAAGGTACATTGTACCTTTCCTTATCAAACGCTGGGGTGCAACGTCACAGTTCTATTTGAGCTGATTGCACACCGCATGCAGCTGTCAAACGCTCAGCTTCACTGTGAAGAGTGTAATTGACTTCAGGTAGCTTTTGTGTCTCTTTCAATTAGCATCTTCGTGGAGTTGGAAGACCCACGAAGTCAACATGGGAGTTGTTAGAGTTGTTGGCATGCAACTGCGCAATCATGATATCTGCGTCGAATTCCAATGTGTCGGAACATCCCGGAACATCCCGAACATCCTCACCTCCCTCACTCTCAACTCACGACTGTTCCGACTGCTGCGACTCGTATTATTAGGGGAGGTTTCGCTTCCAACACAGACTATCACAGATTCCTTTGGATTCCGATCCAGCCACCCTCATTCCCTACTTTCGTCGCACAAGTTGACCGTGTTTTCCGAACGGTTTTGCACCCCACCGAGTTGACCGAACGACCGCGCCGACAGCGGACCCGCGCTCGGATCGTCGATCCAAGCTTCTCCGGCAAGACGGGGATCTGCGCTGTTCGGCCTCGCCTGGGCGGAGGTCACGGGGGCGGAGGTCTCGGGAGTGCCCCTGGAAGGAGGCCCTGGTCTGATGATAGATGTGAATGTCTGTGGTCCAAAGGAGTCTCTCTCTAAATATATTATACATATTGTAATTATATATAGTAAGCGATATGAGCAACATTTACTGAGTCCTCGGAAGGATGGGGAGCTGACTGGTGTGCAAGAATGTCTTGGGTCATGTCCCCATGTCCGTCACCAAGCAACCTACTTGTTGCAATGCACACATTCTGAGCATCCCTCAAATGTTGCGGACTTCAACAACAACTGAGACAATTCAGTCTCTCGTGAAATCTCAAAGACACACAAATCTAACCTTTTTGTGTACAAACTCTTTTGATGCCTCCAATCAGATCCTTCGGTGGTGAAACATGTGGGATGGATGTCAGCTTTTGGATATATGTTGGTTGACAAATGCTGTCCTTTGCACCCACTAAAATGGATGTTGGGGTTCAACTTCTGTGTTAATGAGTCAAAGGTCGAAGGGTACATACCAAAAGAACACAAGAGAACCACAACTCTCTGTTCATTGGCATTCTCCGATCCTCCTCGCCTGCACATCTCCTGAGCTTCCTTCAGCACGCGATGCCGGAAGCTGTTGTCCTCATTCTTGTCCACACGACGGTGTGCCTGCAGATCCAGGCACTAAAACCCTTCGAGGTTTCTAAGTGCGCACAGTGGTGAAACTAATGATTCCAAAAAGGAGAGGAAGCTGTGCAACAGCGGTGCGCATGCGCTTGAAATGCACAAGGTAGGTTAGGGTATCGTCCCGCTTCTTCTTTCCGCTTCTATAATGAAGAGCTTCTACCTAAACACTTACCACCCGCCCGTCTGCCTGAAACCCAGCCAGCTTGTTTAAAAAAACAACAGGGTCTGAGTCATGCTCGGTGCTCGGATTCGCAACGACTGCAGTCGTACGACCACATATCTGGAGAAAATCCAACCCTCCATGTCAACGTCGGACTGCTCAGTTGTGCTTTGCTGTTTGCTAGCTGTTTGCTTGCGTTGACTTCCATGGATATGTGGTTGTCACATGGCATCTTCCATCACTCCTTAGGCCGTGGAGAAAAAAGAAACTGCATCCGAGGCTCATATGCGTGGGCATCGTTGGCCACCTCATCTGAGAATTGGTCCAAACCAAAAAAGGAAGTTTGGAAGGAGTAGCACGAGAATAGCCCAACCCAGCAATTAGAGACACGCATCCTTGCCATTAAACAAGAAACTGCCCATACCAAAGCCGTGCCACATTCTTGACTTCAATGAAAAACAAGCACAGTCACAGCGCAGCATCAACAACAATGATATTATCCGCTCTCACATGGTTCCCACATGTTCCCACACAATTTCCTTCGGATCAACATGCATGAAACACCCATGTTGAACCATGCAAAACCTCATCATGTAAACCCTGTAGACCCGGTGAACACAAAACAACTGTATAAGTTCTTCTTCCAGTGAATGCTGATCTGTGCGATTTGTGTTTAGGACATTTCACCATCTTTCACCTTGTTTCACCACCGCAGTGTTCCGTTCAGAAAACATCCCCGTACAACATCTTGGATGTCAAGAGTTCTCACACCCCTTCGTCTTTCCATTTTTGCCGGATGTCTTCGCTTAGGTCTTTGCGTTTTATGAATCCCTATATCTTACTGCCTTCCTGACCGCTAAACCTGTGGGGGCATCTCCAAACCCTGGGAGTGCTCGCCCAGCACCATCGACTCTACACCAAGGGTGAGAACAAAAGAACGACACCGATTTTGGTTGAATAACCCCGGGGAGTCGATGCTGCGTTCCCATCCCGATTTCCCGATTTCCGGCGTTCATATTATGAGTCCCATTCTGGTCCCTAGCCTTCAGCAAATACCATGAATTGACAATACCCAAACAATCCATGCATGGCATACACTGGCCAGACTGTCTAGTTGCGCTTGTTGAAGTTCCAACTCATCACAACCCTGTTAGCCGGGAAACCCACACAATCTGATCTGGGATGGTGTGGGCGGTCATTTCTACCTCGGAACACCCTTATTCTTAATTTAAAAACGACGTGATAATTAACTGTCCCGCACCTGCCACACAATTTGGACTTGTTACTTCGATCCGCAGCAGTCCCAAGAGTGTCTTGAGAAGAGGGATGACAAGCATAAACTTCTATCTGCCTACATTTTAGTTGTTTCAGCGGTTGTAGGCAACATATTCCGATTCCAGTCCCATGATGTGCTTGGGATCTCCTCCCGCACTTCGAAACTCGCCGGGTCTCGACGAAGTGGCTTGCAGCATGCGCTCCTCATTCAACACTCGTTGCCAGGACTCGATCTCCTCGTGCTCCAGGGCCAGCAGGCTGCTGCCTCCAGTGCCTCCTGGAAGATGCTCAGCACCCGTGTGGCAGCGGCGCAACATGATACGTGACATGATAGATCAAAACCGCAAGGGTCTTTTACTTGCAAAACAAACACGGAACCAGCATCAAGTTTGGAAAGGCTGGAAGAAAGTGGGAATATGGGAGGGATCTGGAAGGTCCAATATTCATCATATTCTATCTACCATTGCCAACTACTATACATGGCTTTGCGCCTGTCCATTTTAAATAGTATTATATAAAAGGATTATTTGCAAGAAACGGACATAGGAAACTGACTGGATGGAACTCCTGTTTTTGAAAGCAACATATAGCCATAGGGAACGTGTGAATGACTATCCCATGATCCAGAACCACAGCTCGTTTTCATCTCCCCGTTGCAACAAACATCTAAACATCAGTATACCACAGTATGTTTAGTTTACCTGCTCTTGAAACATCTTGAAACCACCCTTCTGGACAATCAGAAACCAAAACACTTCGCTGACGGCTGAACACACGGCTGACGGTCCGAAACTGTCGAGGAGGAGCGGGAAGACAGTGCCTCCGAACACTGTTAGCGCTCCCAAGGAAAACGTGTGAAACTCGGTCGGAGGTTTCTGACTCATTTTTACTCATCATCATCATAGTCACAGCATGTCCGCACTTCCTGTAACCAAGTTTTCATCCCAGCTGCATGTGTTCTGCAAGTATGTTATCACAATGCATGCCGAGAATTGTAGCCTCTTTTGCAGCAACAAGGGGCAATAAAAAACGACTTTGACCCACACTCGCTTCAGTTCACTTATCAAAGCAGTGTATCGCTGTCTATTCCTGCCTCCATCTTCGTAGTCATCCAAGAACAGTGACACAGAAAGATGGCGATGCGGAAACAAATACTTGTTGAAGTTGTCCAAATGCAGGTTGGCCGGAACCGATCCTGTTGCGCGGGGTTCAGTCACTTACATGTCAGTAGTTTTCTGCAGCCTGCCAGTACGTTGCCGGGTTCCACATATATCAAACATACAAAACATATTATAATGTAATAACATGTAATGAATTATTAGTATATATATACATATCATTGATTTCCAAAAGATCAATTGATCCATTGAAGCACCAGTGTTGTTTCATCAAACATCCTGCCCACAACAATTTGTGCAACAATGGAGGCAGGAACTTGCAACCTTTACCCCTCAAAAGAGCCTCAAGATACACAAGAAAACCAGAAGGCCCCTGCATTCAGTTTTTGTTGGTGCAATCAACCACCACAAGAGCTTAATAGACTCAGCAAATCTCAACAGTCATCATCAGTAAACACCTCACATGTTTGGGAAACAAAACAACCGACAAACACACATCAAATGATAATAAACAATGTTCATGGTCACTGGACCCTTCATCTGCTATTAGCACGTGCCTTCATGAACGTTGGAGAGATTCGTGATCGTGTTTCATCTGCCAAAAAACAACTCGAGTCTCTCTAGAGGCCCCATTGTAGGCTCATGACTTTGTTCTGCAAAAGCACCGGTGGCTTGCCACGAGTCTCTGTCGCGTCCGAAGCGCCGCCTGGCACATAGATGTGGTAGATGGGTTCCACGTTGTTGGGATGGACACCCGACATCTTGGCCACTCGCTGGATCATCCGCACCATGAAGTCCGGAGGCTCGATGAAATAGAAGGACAGATGCCCTGAATCCTTCGGATCCGGGTCCGATGCATGGCTCTGCTGCCGGTTGGAGAAGAAGTGGTCAAAAGCATCAACCGGTCAAATAACCAGTTCAGCGGTGCAGATGACTTTTTTCAACATGAACAGAGTTGCTATAGTGGTCCACCTTCATAGAAGGAATTCATGTCTAGATGTAGAGGCAGCAGCCGCAGAATGCCGGGCCATTCGCCCAGACCCTGCCTGTGATCTCAGCAAAGGCCTCCCACGCGCAGATTGTCACGGAGAGGAAACAACGACTCGGCGTCCGAGCATTTGTCGATGTTCCGATCCCCATGTATACAAGCATCGAATCTGCTACTCTGCTGCTGCTCTGCTGCTGCTCTGCTGCCGCTCTGCTCTGCTCTGCTGCTGAGTCTCCTGCAGTATGCTGTTGCTGCTGATTCTTGGTCGAGTCTGCTGCTCTCCCCAAACTTGAGCTCCCAGCAAGTTGTCGGTGTTAACAGTTACATTGTCATCATATTGTGTTATCAGTATATTTCAGGGTCGGTAGGGTCGGGGGCTCCTGGATTGGGACGCGCGAAAGAAAAGGGGCTGGTCTTTCGACACGTGGTGGTTTGTTGTCGGATAGTGAGGAGTCAACAAAAACAAATAACATTTCAACAAACTTGGTCCCAACCAGTATGCCACACTTGGTGAGTGGACCAAGTATGTCCCTTCTTCAGAACATACACACAAACCTTTTCGACCTAGTATAATCTATTCGTCAACAACCCAAAAAATATGTGGGTGCGGGTGCATATTAAATTAAAGCTGTTTAAACAGGGAAACCTCCCACGCAACGACCCCCCTGGAAGAAGGGACATAAACAAAAAAAAAGCAAACATGATAGCCAGGGCCAGGGGGTCTTCCCGGATGGCCCACGAGTTCAAGTCTCCGACGTTCGGAAGAAGAACCTTCGACCAACTTCGATCCACCACCCGTTTTCGTTTCGCCTCGCGCCTCGCGCCCAGATCTCCGAAGCGCTGGTGCATCTCCTCCGAGGCGTTTTGGAGGACGTCGGCGCCGGGGCGCAGGGCGACCCAGGGCGAAGTGTCGCCAAAGTAGATCAGGGCCTCCAACCTGAGGGTTTTGGTGTGGGTGTGGAGGTGGTGGCATGGGGGTGCGCGCCCATTTCTGAGTGGGGGAATTGGAAGGGAAGCTGTTTCATAGGTGCTGTTTGAGTGTTTTCTTGGGGAATTGGCAAATCTTTGATTTCAAGTGGTGCCAGTGCCACAGGATGCGAATGAAATCGTTCAAGTGTCGAAACCAGGTGTCCTTGTGGTTTGAGATCCACCAATCTTCAGTGTGGTTTGGATCATTGGTCACTTCTTGGATCACTCATTCCGGGAACGATATTTGAAGACAGATGACCGGACCCTATTTGGAGTGTGTCAACCGTGCTATGGCCAAGGTGCACAACAAGCTCGACTCAAACCGCTGGTGGACACGAATAGCTCAACTCTTCAGGCTTGATACCCTGAAAAAGCCACAAGAACTCGTCATCGCCAACAAACCAAATGAGTCTACATCCTGCTCAAGATAGGATATTGCATTTGGCCCACCCCACAAAGCAACGGTTACCACTAAGACTCCTCAACATTGGGGTTGGACAACGGATCAGCTGGATATTCTTGGGTGTGGGGAAACTACTTGGTGTACAGTGTCACGACTTATTATCTGCCGGACAGAAGCTAAGAGCCTGACATGAGGAAACGGATCAGTGCACATTCCTGGAGAAGACGTGTGATCGGTTTGACACAAAGAAACGTCGCCGGTCTTTGATCTTTTGGAACTCCAATGCGCCGTTATATCCGAAGCTTCAACATCTGCCTTCAACTAAAGAACCTAAAAGCAAGTCAAACCGACCAGTTTGCGGTAGAAAGTCACAGAGACAACAAACTGAACCACTAACCTACCTAAAATGAGGAGGCCTTCATTTTCCAATTGTGGCAAATCAACGTGCAACCTACACATGACACTGACAATCAGTGGACTCTTTTATCAACAGGCCCCAACCCACGAAGACAATAATTACCGACCATGCTTGCTCTCAAACCAACCCCCAACTGTTCTGCAGGCCCATGCTTCTACTGCGAATATATTCTCCATTCACTAGGATTCTGGGCCCACCAAAAAACCCTCACAAATCTATCCTCACCTCTCCCACCCCCGCAAGCAGAGCACCCCAAGGCATGAACAGCTAGCTCGGCTCATCTTAAATCTTCTTCACAACCCAGAACAACCATATTATTGACGACACCCCGGAACCCAAAAGCGACGGCACCAAGCGGCACCTGAGCGCTGAGCAGCCCACGAAAGCGGATGATCTTCGGGCTGACGCTCAAGAGATCGACGTCCAGCAGCGGCTCAGACTGCTCCGACTCCATCGGTGGCTCCAATGTGGGTGATGTGGGTGATGGGTTCGCTAAAGGACAAACTGGTGAATCACTGGTATCCCCCATGGTTAATTGATGTTAATTGGATCTGCAAGCTTGAATGAACTTGACCACATCGCCATGTGTAGACCATGGCCGCACCGTGGCTTTCTCTCATGGCGATGTACCGGGTCACCGCCGTAGGGTGGACATCGAGGACAAGACCTTTGGGAACGTTTGTCCCACATACGCCCTGCGGTGCATCCTTACCTTTATGGAAGCCACCGGTGACATGAATTGGGTGCGGGTCTGGACATGCAAATGTAAACACTTAATGTAAAACAATGTCAAACATGTTAGTTGAACATCAAACACAGCTGGTATTGCTGGTGATTCGTGATTCGTCCAGGCAAGAGAATGGTCTAGTCTGTTGTTGACTAAGTCACCTCGGACATTGCAAAGTGAAGAGCAACACATGTGGCTTCAGAATGCTTCAGAGATCACGTGCAAAGACCCCAAACTCGTTTGGGCAGTTGGTGAGTGTGTACTGAGTCTACTCCTGGAGACGTCCAAGTCTGCTGGGAACGTCATGCAGTTCTCAAGGGAGTTTCAAACCTCGAACCCCTAAGCCTGTGGGACCAGTGGACTGTTTGGAATCATTTTCCAATCCCAATTGTTCTCTAGAGTTTTCTTGGAAGTTGATGACGGAGAGGGAGTGCTCGCTGAGACATCTAATCTAAAAGGTAGAGCGCATATGACCCATCACCATACTAAGTAGATCTAAGTAGTATCTGAGTAGTGAAACTGACTCATGACCAACCCCAATGCCTGGCACTAACCACTACATCAATACTACTACATTGGTGTGATTCGTCTATGGGCCTATGAGGTGAAAGAATTTGGCCCTGACACCAAACGGCATCCTCCACCGAGCGCCGGGCGGGCTGAGACTTGCACTTAAACAAAACACAAAAACAAAGACAACAACCAACAACATCCCGGACACAACTGATCCGGCGCGATGGCCTCCTACCTAGTAGATTCCAGACATGAGGCGAATGGCGCTCCCTCACATGCTTTTTGTTCTCAGCTGTGGGGTCGAGGCTCACCTGCTTCACGCGGAGCCTCCCAAACTGCTTGCTTCATTCGTGACCAACATCTGGATGTCCAGGTCCAACCACTATGAGTCCGGCCAGCTCCAACCACTTTGGGGCCGACTGTGTATAGAACCCAAAGAGCCCCAACAAATTCCAAGCCTAACCCCTAAAGTAATGATCGAAAAGGGCCAAACTCATCTAAAGAATTACAATCCTGCATAAGGTGCCAATGTCAATACCCTCCGGATCCATACAACTGGTACTCCAAAGCAGGGTCCAACAGGTTCTATGTTCCAAGGTGTTGTAGGTGTATTGCGGTCCTTGCATGCCACTGCTACATACCTCAAGGGCTGCAATGCCATAGAAGTGCTTGGAATGCTGCACACTATCCACAACTGACTGATGAAACCAAACACCCTCTGGTTTCAACCAGCAACATCACTACGCTTGTAGGCTGGAAGTCCAGCATTATCTGCCTCTCTACTGCCCAGCCATCTTGGGACCAATGGACTGTGGAAAAGAGTTCTCTCCAAATCGGTGCCTCTTGCATGTTCGCGAAGGCCGTAGAGGCACGGGCCTCGACTAACTTCACTTTGAACGAACTTTCAGAGTTTGGAGGCTACAGAAGCTACAGGTCAGGCCGTGGAAGTCAGGCTGGGTACTGTATCGGCAAAATGAGGTGTGGGATTCCTTTCATCCGTCGAGTCAGTGTATAGTCAATCATTCAATCTTCAGATACACTAATCTGCTCTTTCGGGAACCTTGGGGGTGCATGGGGTTGCTAATGAAATTTCTATCCCTTAGAGCGCTGTCGATGGCAGTGTGGCTGCGGCAGCACGGAGTCTATGCGTCCTTTTTTTGCCGCCGTCAGCCGTCCTTTTCAGTCTCCGCTGGAATGACCCTCACCGGGCCAAGATATTCCATCATCAAGATTCTGCCTGCCGTGGACAAGCCCACACAAAAGCAGGATGACCGTCAAGAAGTCAAGAAGCCAGAAAAAGAACAGATCAGATCCTTGATCCTTGGACATTACATCCCCTGGAGGCAGAAGTTTAGTGACAAAAGAATGTTAACCAGGATGAATGTCCTTGATAGTGAGTCATGCACTTCCAGGTAGTAGTACGTTTGACACCAGTTCTGCTAGACTCAGTAGACCCCTGGCCCCAGCGTCGAGCAAACCCGGTTTCTGTAGGGCGTCCCATCGAAAACACGGAACGGGTTGTAAAGCACTTGATGCATGTTGTGCAGTGGATCATGAGCCTATGGAATGAGGGATAATATCGGAAAAAACAGAGACAAACAACAGTTTCATAAGGATTCTATCCCTTACAGTACGATCCATGTATTGGACAAGTGTGTGATACCTACGTTGATCCCTTTTGCCAGCTCAATTGCTTTGTCAATCCGTCCGTGCCAACCGCCTTCCCGCTTGGTGCTTGCCTGCTGCCAGCACGCTCACACAGCTCCAGAAGAGCGCAGCGTAGCCCGTAGGACCCACCTGGTGAAGGAAATATATATATATATATATGTGTGATAAAGATAGGGGAGCTCCATCTCGTATGATCATGTTTGCGTCGGTCAACATTTGTTGTGGAGTTGCTGGGAAAAACACAGGACTATCTCAGTGCATGATCATGTGTCATGCCCGTCATGTTATTACTTTTGGTGAGTGTGTTAAGTTGTTTTTTGAGCAAATCATGCCGTTTTGAAATCCCATGACCCCTCACTGACCATGTGTCACTTTGACTCATGTTTGAGCCTAGCTCGTATACAAACTCTTTTCTCGGTTGCCGGTATGAGTATGCTTTGCTCTGCGGAGTATGCTCAAGGAGCATCCTTGTCCATGCTTCCAGGCTTCAGAGTATGTCGCAACATTGGAACCTGGTGCATTTCCAGGTTGATATCTGGCACTCAAAAAAAAGATACACCCACCAATGAACCAAACTCCTATTTCCGGGGAATCCAGTAGATGGCTCCAAAAAAGCATGGGTCATTTAGGTGAAAGAACATCACCCGGTCAGCCGGATGTCTCACTTTCCCGGTCCCTTGAGCGAGCTCGCGCAGAAGACACAGGCCTCGCCATTGCGGAAACGTGCCAACAGCAGGAGAAAGAACCTACCGAACGTGGCAGCTGACGGCGGAGGGCAGCGCCATAAGGTCCAAAGGGGCGTTGTCGTGGACGACTCTCCAGCTGGATGAACCAGAGCTAACGGATCTGTAGCACTCCCTCGTCTAGCATATTCGTGCAGCAAATCTGTATCCAAATCTGGAAGGGTGGCGATTGAACCCATTTGAGGGTAGCGATGGCTGATGATTTGGGCTTGGATTTACCAAAATCAGCCATCACAGATGCGGCATTGATTAATTGGCTTTGTGGGTTTTGTCTTGTACCTTCCAACTGCTTCAAAAACCGACTGGGACGGAACATCCGGAAAGCCACACCCGAAGCTGCCTCCAGATCATGGATCCGAAGTTCTGAAACTCGGTGAAGCGCATGTTCACCAGGTGTAGCCACCAGAACAAGCTGCTCAGCCTGGAGACTCCCAGGTCTCTTTCTTCACTGCACCATATTACTCAGCTACTCAGCTTTTTTTTTCGCCTGTCCCGAAGGCATGGTTGTTCTCGCCTAGGTGTACAATTCCTGAGAGCAGTTGGTAGGATGCATCCTAATGACTCGAATGCAACGATGCTTTTGTCAAGGAAGCTTCCATGCACTGCTTTCCAAATGGGAGCTTCCGTGGCCAAGTGTGACACAAACCACATGAGACCGGATCTTTACCACGACCTGCCATTGTGCTTGACCGGATCTTTACGTTTCGAAGAGACCCAAATCAGCACAAGACCGGTTTGGATTCCAACAGGAGGGGTTCCCACTTGTGGTCATGGGCCCATGGGCCAGTAGTGTGGAATGGAATGGAATCAATTACTGTAGAAGCTACATCATGCCACTGCTGCATCTAGCCCAGCTGCATCATGCCACTCACCGCCAGGCACAGTTCAGGCTCTCTGGGCAGGAAACGAGCTTGGTGGTCATAACCGAAGACCTCACCAACTCAGAGGTTGGGCCAACGGAGGCCACCAGACCTCTGCAGCACATGCATGGCCCCGGAAAGGAAGACCAACCGGGTGGTGCCATCCACGGCCCCCATGTGGTGCCAACAGGAGTGTCTGTCGAAATAGTGGTCAATCTGGTGCCGATGGAACTAGTGGATCACCGTTGGATCACCGTTGGATAGCAGCGGATCAGGTCCAACATGGATAGAGTTGATGAACAGCATCTCCACCTAAGATGTCCTAGAAGAATGGCACCTTTCAATACTATGCCTGAATGGAAGTGCTTTCCATGCAACATCCCCGAAACATCTCCGAAACGGCAAGAAACCTCAGAAAGGAACCAGTGTCTGTGTCTGTTTTATTCTGGTTCTTCACTTCGACTGGTTTTCATGCTGGGCCACGTGTACAACATCACTCTCACTGTTTCCATTGACAATAGACATCCATCTCAGCCAGGAATCCACTAAAACCCGACAAAGGGTCGCTGAAACGAAGCAAACCACTCCGCCAAAAAAGCTCAGGCTGCAAAGCAAGTACTCCTCAGTCGCTCGTCGCGCAGTTCTGCATCAGACCCCAACTATTGCCACTGCATTCCGAGTCTGGAGCAAACCCCTGGTTTCACCACGATCACCATGAGAATTGGGATGACTTTTGAGGGAGCCTTTGGCACTCCTAGCGTTTGCCACTCCAAGTCGAACCCATGTGTGGCATAAACCCGGCAAGAGTTTGCTTTCCCACCTATCTGGTCAAGACCTCTACGAGCGCCTTGGGACATCATGCCACACTAGGATCCCGTAGATCCATAATCATGGACTGTTCTATCAAATCATATCAAATCTGTAAATGTCTGGTCGTAGGACCGTAGGATTACTGTACATGAATCTAATTACGATAGTTACGTA